AACTTACCAAAGTGGAGGCTTTCCTCCCGTGGACTACCAGCTTTCCAGATTCCCTCTGTGATGAGTTAGGGAGTAGAGTCCTCCTCCGTTTCCCTTCGGTGTTAGTTTCCCACACCCATGGTGAGTCCCGAAAAATTTATATGCAGCCTCACCCAGTCATTCAGTGGAATTTATAAGACCAGGACACACACACACCATATTAAAGTGATCCACTCCACGACAGACCTGAAGTTTTCACCTGAAGGGAAGTGAGAAAGATCTAGGAGGAGAAAAAAATTACAGGTCAGAGCCTTGCTAGAAACTTAACCCCAAACCCAGCTCTAGCCCCTCTTAGATCCCTTGGCCTCCAGAGCGCCTCTGCTTAGACACGGTGGCACTATATGCCAACACGGCAGTTGGCTGTGCCGCCTGGAAAGTGGGTGCCTCTCACCTCTACTCTTGCCAATAATCCATTGTCACACTTGGCGCGCTGCTGACAGCTCTCGGCATGCCTCCTCCAAGTCTCCTGTTCCAAGACTTTGACTTAATTTTCTTTTCCCATTTGGGGCTTAGCATGCCAAATCTGAAAACATCCAAGTCTACACCTGTTCTCTTCAGCAGCCATGACAGAATCCATTCAAAAGGCAAGCAGGGGGTGACAGATTTTCGTAACCCAAGGACTGCCCGTATCGCATTGTTTTGTCTATTTCTAAGGTTTAAGGAGCCCTGGTGGCCCTGCAAGATTTGAGGTCCTACTCTACCAGCAGCGGTTCTAACCCACCAAGTGCTCTGTGGGAGAGAAGTGAGGCTATATGCATCTGTAAGATTTGCAGCCTCCGAAATACTATACAGCTGTTTCCCAAAGTACTGCCCCCTGGGAGAGCGGGGGCAGGAAGGGCAGGCGCTAGGACCATCCAGTTAGGCTGCAAAAGCAGCTACCTATATTTATCCTAGAGGAGCTGTGGTGGTGGTGGTGCGGTTACGAAAGGTCCACAGTTCAAAACCACCAGCCAGCTGTGGTAAGACAGGGCTTTCTACTCCCATAAACAGTTACCGTCTCGGAAACTCAACAGGGACAGTTCTACCCTGTCTTTAGAGCATGATGAGTCAGCATCGATTCCGATGCCAGTGAGATACTTATCCTGGTTTAAGGCCATACCACCCTGAACATGCCCAATCTCTTCTGATGTTGGAAGCTAAGCAGGGTCGGGCCTGGTGAGTACTTGGGTAGGAGATACTCCTCTTAGAGCCCTGGTGGGATAATGGTTATGCATTGGCTGCTAACTGCAAGGTCAGCAGGTGGCTATGAGTCATCATTGACTCAATGGCCATGAGTTTGGAGTGTTGGGATACTGATCCTGGATTATGGGCTAAAGTACAAATGTTTTCAATTTGGTTGGGAGGGGCGGGGACAGCGACACTGTTGCTTTGTTTTCTGAAAAGGGGATGGTAGGCCATATAACTTTGGGGATCGCTGCTGCTGAAGGGTCACTGTGAGTTAGAATCGCTTCCACGACAGTGGGTCTTTAGAGTTGGGATGTACATTTTGGTTGTTTTAAAGTTGCATGGGAAAAAAAACAAACAACATGATGTGGCGTCAGCAGCATTCTCTGATCTCTTCATCCAACTTCACAGGGGGGAGAAGATTCCAAGATCCACAGCCGCTGAAGGCCGATTCCTTTGAGGGCGCAGTCACACATTACCTGCACACTGTAAGAATGGTGTGGTCCAGGTGGTGTCTGGCCGCCTCCGACTTCACCAGGGGGAGAGAGAATCAGTATCAGCATCAGCTCAAGGCTGATTTCTGTGAGGCAGAGGTTAGACATGCCTACCCCTGCCTCCCTCTCTACCAATTCCCAGGTCAGACATGCCTACCCCTGCCTCCCTCTCTACCAATTCCCAGGTCAGACATGCC